AGTTCGACCAGCCGATCTTGATCTTGCCCCTTTCTTCGAGTACTGTCTGCGCTGTTGTTATTGGTTGAGTCACTAGTGCAGTTTGGGTACCTGTGTAGGCTGGTCTGATTTTGATAGCTCCTTCCGGTATCTCAAAGCTATCTCTAGCTACTTCCTGTAACGCCGCCTGGATGTCATCTTTAGTTGTTGTGTCATCGATGTCCCGGATTTCTTATTGCTCCTGTGGGCCCTTACTGATGACTTTGGCCTCCTCTTTCAGGATACTCTGGATCGTCTTTTGTAGAGCTTGTCCTTTGTCAGTGCTCTTTCTAGAGAGCTCGATGAGCATGTCTCCGTCTCTGGTCTTGCGGATCTTATCAACCGTATTGCAGACTTGCTCATTAGGGACTTCTTTCTTTATTCGGCGCAGTATCTCAGCATAGTTTGCCTTTTCAACAGGCCGAATTATTAATGCGTCCGCTCTGGTGAATTTTAGCGGTTTTTTCCGCTTAGGCTCAGGTGGTGGCTTCTCAGGTAACTGCTTCAGGAGTTGCTCTTTCCTTTCTTTCTTCTGTTCGCTCCTAGACTGTACTTTTTTCCAAGCAAGCGCCTTTGGTTGTTCGCTGGTCTGCACTGCCGCTCCTTGTGGAGGGCTTTTCTTCATATCCTTTTTCTTCACGACTCGGCTGATTGTTGGGTCAGAAGAAGGTCGATTTTTTCTCTGACCTGACTTGCTGCTGGCTTCACTTGTGTCTTCCGCGACTGATTCACCGTCTCCTTCAGCTCAATCACCGATGCCGGGATGCCATCAGGTCCAGGTGCCTTTCCTGTTTTGAGTGACTTGGCCGCGTCTTGTAGTTCCTTAGTTGTGAAGGGTGTTACTTCGCTGTTCTTAGTGCAGTGTTTCTTTTCCCGCGGCAGGTGTTTGGGAAAAAGCTCCGCTACAATGCTGTCCATCATGGCAGGAGACTTCGGCGCCTCTGGTGAAGCCTTTCCAAGTCGTTTGGCGACAATTTGGTAGGCTTTACCCCAGAGGTCATTGTCGAGATCATTGCAGATCTCTTTCCACAACTTCGCTTTACTTGCTTTGATGGCTCGGTTTAGCGTCTTTTTGGCCTGCTTATACTCTTTTGAATACTCGTCCTGGCTTGGGGAGCGTTTCGCGGCTCTCGTTGCTCGGCGACGTAGCTGATGGCATATTTTGCGAAGTTCTCCTATGTCTGCTGACCACCAGTACGCCGGCCTGTGGAATCTCTGATTTTTCAGCCGCGGCATAGAGGCATCACATGCGGCAGCAATTTCCTTCATCGTATTTAGCACTGCCTTTTCCGTCTCGCTGCACGTATCCGGAGTCGTGTTGTTCTGAAGAATAGACCAGCTTCGTGCAAGCGAAGCTTTCAATTCCTCTGGATCAAGCCTTTTGGCATTCCACTTCCGCTTAGAAACGTCGCGTTGTGAAACCGGAGCAAATGCCAATCCGACGCTGAATGTCACGAACTGGTGATCACTGCCACTGTATTCTTCGGATACTACCCAGTCTTCGATCATGTTGGCAGTCCTTGGAGTCGCCAATGAGATGTCGAGGATGGATTCTTGGTACCCTGGTCTTCTAAAGGTCGTTGTGCTCCCGGTGTTCAGCACTATGAGGTCGAGTCTAGCCGCGACGTCAGCGACCTCGTTTCCTCTGGTATCGGAGAAAGCAGCGCCCCACTCAGCTGATTTAGCATTGAAGTCTCCGGTTACGATAACTTCACCGTCGAACTTAATGATCGCATCTTCTATATTTGACAGTTTCTGTTGGAACATACTAATCCCTTCGTTAGGTGAGAGATAGACGCTCATGAAGTAGGTTGTGGGGGTTTGGATCCAGACAAAACCTGCTCCACTTCCGCTGTTGTTGACGGTAACGTTCTTTGTGTTCACAATCCAAATTGCTGCCGTGCCCGTTTTGTCTGAGAACCATGTTTTACCTTCGATGTTTAGATATTGCTCGCAGATAAAGCAGACGTCAATTTTATCTTCAAAAACACGCTGGCGCAGCAGGTTTTGCGCCAAGGCGCACCTATTCAGGTTGCCTTGTAGTATGCGTGTCATTTCTGACCTCTCGTAGCTTCTGCAAGTGCTTTGCGGAATGCCTTGCAAGCTCCAGTACCAGAAATATGGCATAGATTATCCTGGGCATCTTTGTCCGAAGCACAAAGGAAGCATTTTAGCTTCTCCGTGCAGTTTACGGCCTTGTGGTTCTCTCCGCCACATTTGTAACAGCACTTGCTTCTGTCTGGTCCCGCACACTGACGTGTGTGGTGTCCACAACCAAGACATTTAAAACAACGTGTTACTTTTACTACTGGGCGTATACGACAGTTCACCAAACCGATCCGTATACGGGCCTTGTCAAGGGCCTTAATCGCACTGGGCTCGTCTAATTCGCAGAAGGCTGCCCGATTACCTCGTGGTGTGGGCTTTGTCAAATTGACCCGTTTGACCTCCAGGTTGTCAGTGAATTCACGTTTGAGTGCTTCACGGACTTCGCTCTCGGTAGAGATTTCATCCAGGTCGAGGATCTCGATCGTTGCTGTTGGTGTTAGCGTCTTGACCGTGCCGATGTTTGCTTGGCTGGTTTTGGGCTGTAGCAGATTGAGCCGCTGGGTTCTGTTCTCTATCCTTCCTTTTTCTTTGGCCAAGTCACTTTAGTCCAAGTATCATCCCGGGCTGGCTTTTTCTGTGCTGGCTTGTCAATTTCTGCGGAGGGGCTGGGCGCGGACAGCGGCCTCTTCTTGTTGTTGCCCTTTCCTTGCTGTGATAATCTCTTAGGAGTGACCACAGGTGGCTGTGGTTTGTTGCTCAGACTCGGAGATGTTTGAGTCGTTGACGCTGTCGTCGTTGGTGATTTGTTGGCAAGCCTATATGCCGTACCAAGAGACGTAACCATTTTTCTGATCTCATGATGGACATTTTTCTTGTCTTTTATGAAGTCGACTAGCTCTTCAATCTTGCTGCCGAGTCTCTCCATTGGTGACTGTTGGCTGGTGACAGTCGGTACAGAGTTTATTCTTCCTCGGTAGGTTTGGTTTGTGACAGGAGCAAAAGGTCCTCCACTTTTTGAAGGACCGTTGTTCAGCTGTCCGTTCTCCTCCATCTGGGTTGTTTCCGTACTCCCTGTAGCAATTCCAGACAGCAGAGCCATGGGGTCTACCCTGCTGTCGTAACGGTCGCTTGATAACGACGAGTTCAGGCCCGTTTGCACGCCTTCCGTCGCCGGCACTGAGGTATCCATCCTCTGTACTGTAAACGATGTTTGAATATCTTCTGACATTTCCATATCGTTGTTTGGTGTTGTTCATTTAGCACTACCCGGAGAGCACGTGTAGGGTGTAAAAGCAGAACCTACGGACGCGAACAACGCTACTCTCGACTTGCTAGGTCTGTTAGTGTGACCAACCCATTAAAGGGGAGTTTTGTCCACGGGAGCGTTTTGTCATCCAAGGACAGCGAGCGTTCTCCCATCCGCTCGGGGAGACGCGCCCGGTAGCAGTATCTCCTCTGCCCCGAGGTGTGTGTGTGTGTGTGTGTGTGTGTGTGTGTGTGTGTGTGTGTGTGTGACTATGTGACTCGCTT